GGAAGTAAAAAAAACAAAGCACTATATCAAGGAGTTCTGCAGAGGCAGAGTTTAGAAGCACGGCTACCACAGTAGCTAAATTAGTGTGGTTGAAAGGATTGTTCAAGGAGTTTGGAATAGAAGTAAACTTGTTTTGTGACAGCAAAGTTGCAATTCAAATAGCAGCACACCCAATCTTTCATGAGAGTCCAAAACATTTTGACATAGATTGTCATTTTGTAAGAGTAAAGATTCTGGAAGGGCTTATACAGACACAACATATAGGAACAAGGGAACAACAGGCCGATCTACTTACTAAAGGGCTATGTAAACCTCAGCATGAAGCACTAATTGGCAAGCTTGGAATGAAGAACATATTTTCTTATTCTGAGCTTGAGGGTAAGTGTTGAATACATGTTACTAATTAATTATACAAGTTGTTAGTTAGTTAAAGAAGTTAGTTAGAATAGAAGCTTCTAGAAGGTCTTGGTAGTTAGGAATGTTGTTAGCTATAAATACATGGCATCTTGTACAAATTTGCATATGAATGGAGTTTTTCTCATTCTTTCTGATTTCACTCTCCAAATACTCCCATTAATGGAGTCTCTTAAAATAGGAGTATGTGATATTTAAGGTAAAGGTCAATTTGAACAACGAGAGAAACTAACCGTAAATATGAGATCGCTATATTCAAAAACATATTACATTGCCTTGCCCAAAATTGAAACTAATGTGTAGGATGAGCATTTCTATGCCTGAAAAATTGAGTTTCCCATGAATTGGACACAAATTGAAAAGTTCCAAGTTCTGCCTTAAAATATTTTCCTTTGCTAAATCCATCATTCAGATTAAGAGAGTTGGACACAAATTAAAAAATGAGCAGATTTGAAAGTTGTAAAACCCAATTGAGAAGATGAAGAGAACTTGAGAAGCATCGTCTCAAAAGTCCAAAGGAAACCTAGTGCGGTGGCAATTCCTTTTACGAAAAAGAGACGTGTTTCATTATTTTCTTAAGATTCTAAAATATCCTTGGACAAAAATAAAAAGACACTTAACAAACATGTTGATACCTCCCTTTAACTCACATTTCTACTATATGGAAAACTCAGTTCTTGTATAGCATATTAAACCTGCCAACATTGCTAAGAGAAGGAAGGTAAGAGATTGAGTACAATTTATAGAGTGAGTTGACTAACCTTTTTTCATGGCGCCAACAAATTTCATGAAGGTCGAAACCTCCGTCAATTATTATCATACTTGAATCATCTCCAGTACCATTGGCTAATTCAACTATAATTCCATTGTTACAAAACAAAATTTGTGAACATCACTCCAAAGAAAATGAGTCGGGAATATCATCAAACATGTTGGATGCATATTTCACTTTAAAGATTGTTAGTTATAATCAAACAAGTAAAATCACGGAATTTACTTTCACGAAATTTATAATATAATACTTAAAATCTATCGGTCATTAAAACTAAAACACTATATATCTTACATATAAGATTACGTAGTAACAAATATTAATAATATAAAGAAAAATGAAAATTATTAGATCTTATCATTTATCCTTAACAATATAAGCATAAATTAATGACTGTGAAAATACATATCGGATCTGTAACATAAGTAATGGTGTCAGTGAGTCACTCAACAGAAGCAAAGTATACAAATATTTAATTGTGAAGAAGAAGAAGAAGAGGAGGTTCAGAATTTCGTTGTTTTAAAATGAGAGGAAATTCCTCTATTTATAGACAACCAAGGGTAGTGTGGACAAATGATTACTGTGCCTTATCGAAAATGTTACAACTATTTGGAAAAGTTGCAACCCTTCGAAAAGGTCACAATCTTTCATAAAAGTGACAATTTTTCATAAAAGTCGCAACTCTTCATTAAAGTCGCAAATTTTCATAAAAAGTTACAATTTTTCATGAAAGGAGAAGACTAGTTTTGAAAATAAATAAATTAAAAGAAAATTCTTGTTTGTGGTGGCGCAACGTAGGCGGGCCTAAGATTCTCTTTTATATATATATATATGATAATTAGGAAGAAGAAAGGGCCAGAACTAGATATAACATATATAGGTGTAATGTCATCTTCTATATTTTTCCTTTAGAACGGGGGATAAAAGCACAATTTGGTGAAATTAAGTAAGAAATTACCAGCAAACAAGTGCAATAAGCAAAGATAGATTGGAAGGGAAAAAACCTTACCAAAGTTAAAATCAGACACAAACTAGCATAAGAATGCAGCATCAAAAGTCTAAAATATTCCTAATCTCAATAATATTGACATTTTACGTTGTACCATTTTCATTACTCACACTTTTATAATAGTAGGAAAAAAAAGAAAAAAGAAATATACATATTTAATGAATATAATATTAATATAATAATTATAAATAATATAGTATTAGATTTTGTGACAAATTGATAAAAAAAAATTATTCTACATTATAATGAACTTAAATGAAAAATTTATAACTACTTAGATTAAGAAAAATAAATATTCTATATCATATAAAAAAATATTATTATATAGATAAAAGATTGAAATTAGAGAAAACACATAAAAAGAACCCCTGAACTTAGTAGGACAACTTACTTTAGCACTATAACTTTACGCGTAATTATTTACCCCCTAATCTCATATCAAGTGAATTTAAATGCACTCAAATCGCTGACGTGACAAAGTTAAAAAAATAAAAGCGTATATTGGCAAAAAAATTATAAGTGGGTCCCTTTTTTATTCTTTTCGGCCAATTTATTTTTCATCACACCCCACCACCCCACCCTTAGCTACTAGCAATCCCACTCTTTCTTCTTCCCCACACCCCACCACCCCTTGCCTCCTTCAGCCACCATTGCACCACCTCATTCTTCTTATTCGAAACACCCCTCCTTGCTCTTCTTCGAAACTCCCTGCCACATTTCTTGTTCTACGAACCCCACAACCCAACCTCTTTCTCCTGCTCCAAACCTCCCTGGCTTCAACCATCATTTTTCTCACTTTTTTCTCGTGACGACCCCCCCCCCCCCCCCCACACACACACATTTTTATATCTACTTCTGATCTTTCACTCATTCAATTTCGATTTTAAGAAGAGGGTCATCTTTTTTTCAAGATCTAAATCAAAATTGAATCACTAATTTTAAAAATTGAAAAGAGAAGATTGTTGGTGTTGAAAAGTGTTGCTTCAAAACACTATTTATGGTAATGTTTATATAAATGGTGATGAACTTGAATTTTTTTAATGTTAGATTAATCTTCATTTTTTCCTAATTGTTTTCTAAAATTGTTGATAAATAAAAAGAAAAAAAAAGAACTAAAATATCAAAATTTAAAAAAATTTCAAGGTGGCATTGATGTGGCACTGATGTGGCGTTGATGAGTTGATGACATGGTGCATGTGAGATGCACTTGCCATTGTGAGACTGATATTATAATCTTAAGGTGACATAAAATTCATTTCAAATAAGATTAGGAAGATAAATAATTATATGTAAAGTTAAAATATTAAAGTAAGTTGTCCTGCCAAGTTCAGAAATTTTATGTGTTTTCTCTTGAAATTATTATTCTCTCCGTTTCAAAAAGAGTGACTTAGTTTGACTTGACACGAAGTTTAAGGAAATAAAAAAGATTTTGAATCTTGTGGTTCTAAATTAAAGTTGAGTTAAATATATAAAAGAGAAAATGGTCAAAAAACCCTCTAACCTATGGTCGGATTTCCAACTACACACTCATACTTTACGGGAGTCCTATTACCCCCCTGAACTATTTTATAAGGAAATAAATTTCACCATAAAATGACATAGTCACTCATGTGTATTGTGGTGTAACACGCACATGCCATGTCAGCGCCATGTCAATGCCACCTAATAAATATAATAAATGAATTATTTTTTCTACTTTTTTTTTAATTATTATATGCCCCATTAGAAACCCTCCATTATCATTAATTAGAACATCACCATTATCAAACTCACTTCTCATCCATTGACATTCCGGCAAGAGAAAAGACGGTAAATTTTTTTTGATGAGTAAAAGTTTCTCTGACCAATATCTTTATCTTATTCCCCACACTTTCTCTCAAAGTTCATTGATACACATTTTACTCATGTTGGGGGCTTATGAAGGGATATACCCAAAGTAGTATATGGGCATGCCATAAATTTTGAATTCAATTTCTTTCTTTTCTTAATGTTGGTGAAAGTAGCAAACCAAATTAAACCATTGAAATTAATCCAATTGAAAAAAGTTATGATCCAATTGAATTTTTATGCCCCATTTCTAAAATACCCCAATTTGTGGTTAAATTCAAAAATGTGAAATTAGAATTAACGTTTGAGAGAAGAGCTTGTGAAGGTGTTGGAAATTGAAAATTCTATGTTTGTTTGAAATGGGTTCCGGTAAAAAAATTGAATTTTGAATTCTTTATTTTATTACTTTAATTTGGGAGTAATAACTAAATTTGTTTAAAGGTTTTTTAATTATGTAAGAGACGGTTAATATGTAGAATTCCTGAAGAAATTTGTAGAGATTTGTGATGAAAAATAAAAATAAAGCAAAAGTGTGAAAAAGAAGAAAGGTGTAGGGTGAGTGTGAAGAAGAAGAAGTGTGGGGTGGTTGGGTTGGGGTGGAGTGGGGGATATTATTTTAATTTAATTAGAAAGAGAAAGAAAATAAAATAAAAACATGAAATAAATATAAAAGCAGCCCTATTTATTCTTTTTTCACTCTCTCAAAGAGAGTGAAATATACTTTCTCAGCCAACTCAGTATTAAGGGTTTATTTATTCTATTTTAAAATAGTTCCTGTAAAGTTTAAGTCTGTAGTTGAGAATTTGATAATAGGTTTTAATCTTATGATTTTAAACATGTCACATGAAAAGCTGAAATTAAAATGTTATCAATAAAAAAAAATCATTCTTTTTTAAACAAACTAAAAAAAGAAATAGGTCTTTTTTTTTTAAAACAGATCAATAGGGCTACCAAATTAAAGAATAAAAAGCTAGAGAGAGTTCTAGAAGTCCGTTAGAAGTTGTAAGAAGAAACACAAGAAGAAGTCACTCACTACGTTATTAAACGTCGAGTCCTACCCAGAAAAAAATGGTAGAAAGATGAAAGGGAATAGTAATAAGCAGATAGAAATCAAGCTATTGTGTCCTTTGGTATCAAAGATGGTAGTACCAATCATGGTTTGGGAAGAAGAAAGACTTGATCTTGGTTCCATTGCACGCATTTTTGGGCTTGACCCATTAACATTGAAGATAAATGGTCACTTTATAAGTAAAGGGGTTGATTTTATTGCTTCTTCTGTTACATGGAAATCACTTCTTTCCTTCTTCTCTTCTCGTGGCTTCTCCACTCACCCACTCATTCTTCAAGGAAATCTCTCTAAACTTGGGTCCAAAAGTAAGCATCTTTTTTTTCTTCTTCTTCTTCAACTTTTTTGAGTGAAGAGATGCATTTTAAAGCTTAAATTGTTGAATATGTGGGTGAAATTTTGTTCCGATACTTAAATGGAGTCAAAATATTAGGTTTTCTTTTAGGCTGAGAAGTGGACCAGAGAAGGTCTAATATGGGTATAAACGGTTTAGCAGTCTTATGAGACAATTTGATTTGGATTTCTTTCAATTAACCTCATGTTAGGTCATAGGTGTAAAGAACTTGGGTGTGTTTGGTATGAAGGAAAATCTTCTTATTTCGTACAAGGAAAACAAGAGAGTTTCTTACTATTTTCTAGTGTTTGGTAAGTAGGCAAGAATATACTACTCATCTCAAGAGCATTTTTATGTTATCTAGCTAAACATTGTGTAGGTAGAGTGGGATGGGGAGTGGGGGTTCGAGAATAGCGGGTAAAGGGATGGGGGTTGGGGATTTGGTGGGTGAGGAGGAGATAATTAAATGTCACTTATGCAACCTGTACTTGTTTTCCATTAGGACTTATTTGTGACTTCAAAAACGTATGATACAAATTTGAATAGGTTTACCTAAGCTCTGGATGGAAACCAATTATGCCGACCATTCATATGCTAAATATATAATTGTATGATTAATGGATTGATCCACTAACATAATATGACTATACATCCATGTTTTGGTCCAGCTATTAGGGTTGACACAATGGCTGATGTTTCTTAAGCATGCCTACTCTGCAAGCTAACTTGTGTGGACTCTTCAGTTTCAAATTCGCGGCCGTGTCGCATTTTCCAAAAATAGACTACTTTTGGGGAATCCGACATGCACCCATTGATATTTTTGAAGAGTTCGAGCAGCATAGTCTGCAAGTATCTCCTGCTCTCTGGTTTGGGAAGGAGAGGAGAATATTGCTTGAACCCGCTTTGAAAAGGAAAAACTGCTAGCACATCTTATGCAGTGAGTACAAAATTGCATGCCTTTCTGCACATCAGCTTTTTTAGCTACTAGTCTGTCTGCAGAACTTCTCGTTATGTCTATTAGCTACTGCCTAACTAGTTGGAAGTTGATTGGTGAATAGTACGTGAAAAGATAGTAGGTTTCAAATATTTATAATATCATTTTGAAAGGATGGATCACTTGTTCTCGCTACAGTCTGAGATCCCCTGCTGCAGCGTGTTCTCATAATATATCGCAGAATTAAGCTTTTGAAGCTATTGAGTAGTAGTATTCCTACAGAATGTCACGGAACACTTCTAAGGACTATTTTTTGTTTAATGTGGTTAACATATTCACCTCCCACCACCATTCTCCCCTTATGAACCATGTTTCAAACTATTCTTCTGTTATTGTGCAGGATCACATAGTCCAACAGTAGTTGAAAATGGGTTGCTCTGCAAGAAGTATCTCAATGATGAGAGAGAGAAATGTCACGAGGAAACCAACTCCCTTAGTAACAAGAAATTCAAGGGAAGCTCTAGAGGTAATGACAGATTATACAACTTTGCTAGTGCAGGAATGGCATTGAACCTAAAAAGGAAGCTTTGTTTGGAAGGTTCGGGTCTGTTGAAGAGATCAAGAACAGCAGATGAATATGATTCAGGTTTGTTACAATAGAATAGGCTTAATGGTGTCTTATTATTATCTCAATCTTTGAGCTCATGTTCCACATTAGGAAGCTCAATGTGAACTGTTGTACTCTTATCACTTGATCTCATATCACTGTGGTTTATTTCTGATGTATTTCAGGTTTGAGAGAGGAACAAGTGGATTTCCCCAAAGCTGATAGACCACTTTTATGCAGTCTAGCTAGTGAAAAGCTGAAAAGGTTTAGAGATGATGAGATGGTTGTATCCACCCCGTTCAAGAGGATACGATAACTTGGCCAAACACAAACTGTGTTAGTTAGGTAGATGTATATTGAAGTTATCGTAGCATTGTACTCACCTGTAAATACTTGCCAATCGGTTAAAGTTGTTGCTGACACAAAAGTTTCAAATTGCAAGAGCATTTTTTGAGTTTTGTCAAAGTAGATTATGGCTTGTTCTATGTAGTTTCCGATGGGCAAGATGTCCTTTTACCTTTCTAAACCACATTACCATCTATCATTGTGGTATCAAGCCACCCAATTTCACAAGCAAGTCCTTTTCACAAAATTCAAAGCAACTTTTAGAAGAGCAGAAGTGTATAAACACAAACATCTGACCTTACTTTTTGAAACATTTCTTAGTTATACAAAAGATTGAAAATTCTGGTACCTGATAATGAATGAAGTTGGGGATGCGCGATACAGGAATCAGACACGTAAAAAAAAAGGGAACTCGCCATAGTGGTTGACAATTAATTTGGATGATACAATGCTGAATCCTAAACAAGGGAGATTTTGTTTGATTGATAAAATCTATGCTAAGTACCGTGGCAATCATGTAACATATAGTACAAAACTTCTTTCTGTAGCTTCATTTGGAGGTCATCCATAGAAGTACTGCCAAGCAGCAGCAATACCAGCCACCAGTATCACTCTGAGAATCAGCTTATAACTGACTTTAGATGAAGAGGATGGGGGTGGTGGTTCCAACGGTTTTCCTCTCAATTTAGCTGATAACTTGGACAGTAGCACGCCTATCGGACCACTGGGCATGGCAGCTGCAAGCAGGCAGAAAAGAAAGATTGAGATCAACATCTGAAACACTCACTAAATTACCCTATCATATTTCAAACAACTTCATTCAAACTAGTTGGTGTTAGCTATAAGAATACTGTCTCTATCCTTGTCCATTTCATTCAACTGCTAAACAAAACTGGTATCAAGATCAATATCTGAAACACCAACTTAAGCTTAACCTATATCAGCTACAGTTCCACATCAAATTAATTGTTCAAGGCTTTAAGCTATATTGATTCTCTCTATGTTTATTCCATTCTATTTGTATGCATTTCATTCTAATACTACATAATTTGTAGTTTAAGGAAAATTAGGATTTCGTAGGACTAGGGATTCTGCAAATGGCACCCTCAACCCTACAATGACATATAAATATTGATGCTTGGGAAACACCAAGACAGTGTAAGTTAAACAATAACAATACCCCAAATTCCAACAAGTTGGTAATAGATCTTTTGCTTTGATTACTGGAACTAAAGATATTAAGTCGACTGCATGAAGATAAATATACATCCATGCAAATCCAACTGAGAATGACTACTTTCACCATTAAGTAGAATCCCAGTGAAATGTGCAGTTAAATTTTCAGAATTATAGCAACATCATAGTCATTACCAGGGAAAATTTACCTTTACTTTTCAGAAGCCTCTCCTCCTCTTCAACACGCCTACGTAACGCATTAAGCAGTGATCCAAAATATAGAGCAAATACAGTGCACGTAATTGTGATAACATTGTATGGCATGCTAAAATCAGGAGTGGTCAAGGGTACAAGCAATACTTCTGTGTACCATAGAACAGGGCTTTCTTCCTGAAAAGAAGCAGATGCTCAATATAATCCATATCCAATACAATATCATATTACATCAGAGCTTCACTTGTTTAACAATTGATACCTGTAGCTTGGATAAGATAGGTGACTTGCAAGCAGATTTATCCTCAAATAAATGCATCTTTGTTTTGATCTCAGGAAACCTGATTAAAGCTGATGGAATGTCAAATCCCTGGTTAGCATCTGGAGGATACTCATCGATGTGCAGAAAACCCTGTGAAGGAATCCAGATAAATAAAGGTAATGTTAAACGATTTTCGGTCTATCACTAAAGTTAATGTGCATGTTGCTTTCTACCAGTTACATTAGATTCAGTTCCACATAGATATAGGAGAAGAAATAGAAGAGATCACCTTTATGTTTTAACCATCCCTATCCCTGGCCCAGACAGAATTACAAGCTAACCACACAAGCAGATATAAAGAAGTTTAAAAGTTGAAGACTACAGAAAGGCCTGACAACATCTGATATCCTTTCAACTTATAAGGTACTTTGTCACTCCTCCATGTACAAATATTTTCATGTGAAACCTGCTTGGGCCACAAAGATTTACGTCTATACATGCCAATCTCCTATACAACTACTCCTAAATGAGATAATTAGATAGCTCGTTATCATAAGAGCTTAAGAAATATAACGAGATGATTAAATAGCTGTCCTATCTGACCACTGTTATTGGATATTGGCAATCAAACTCCAATCTCAATAAAACTTAGATTTCAGCGGATTTATTCTAGATAAACTGTAAAAGGGGATAGGTACCTTATCAAACTCCAATGTCAATATCACCGAGTGCACATCACATGGCAATCGCAATGCTATTTCCATTAGCCCAGGAGAAACCTTGTCTTCAGAAGGCGAAACATTTGTCCTTTCTACAACATCTGCTAAACTGTGAAGACGTTCATCTAGAAACACTTTAAGCGTGTGGTAATAAACCTTGACATACCAAGGCACAACTTGGAACAGATCAACCCGTAACGAGCATCTTCCTTCCTCGTTGACAGAAGATTTTGCATACTCACTTCTTCCTACAGACTTCAAGGAGATGGCTATGGCACCCCTTTCATTCCCACTTCCCATAAGGAACCTGCGAGCCTGCAAGGGTGCCAGTTGAGATGACCATGTCACGGGACGCTTCCACCTGAACTCCAAGTCGAATGGCTTTGAATCACTAAAATTTTCTAGAGAAAATTCATACAGAAGGGATGACTCCTTCTGAAAGCCATTGGCTTCTTGAATTACCCTGACTGCAGACTCAGACATTTCAAAGCTCGTGTCACTCCAAGCTTGAGCAATCAAATTCTCAACATCAGATTGTTGTTGCGTCTCTGAAATAGTCTTCAATTCAGACACCAAATCTGGCTCTAATTGGACATACACATTACTAGCATTTGAAAGAACACACCTTCCACTAACTTTCCGTCCAAACAATGAGCTCAGTGACCAACTTGGTTGCTGTATTGCAACAGATGATGTCATGCCACTTCCTAAAGTAACCGGTTGGAGAACAACAGTAAGTGTCTGTTCAAGCACCATTCCAGAACTTGCTGCAGCTAGATCAAATTCATTTGAGACTAAATGCAACCTCTGAGAGTGATAAAATCCTCGGTAGATAGAAGGTCTGTCCATCAATGCAGAAAGTCCAGCTTTGTCTCGGCAAGGAAGCAACTTTAGCCAAGGAGTGAGGTTCTCTGTGCAAACAGCCTCACGGGGCAAGGTGCCGTACCTGATATTTGTAGCAAATGACTTGAAGCTCCATTGGGGAGAAGAATAAGCAGTTGATGACTCTAGGAAGTTAATAGAAGCACAAAAGAGCCCTGAAAGAGCATGTGTTAAATTTCTCCATGAAGCGTCGACCTGATGTTGTGGAACATCAAAAGTAGCCCACAGTTCAACTCCAGGAGGCTTCGCATTTCTACTTGAAATGGGATCATGTCCACCCCAGCGTGCATAATTCCAGCGACCTTGTGTGAACGACAGCTCCATTTCTCGAACTCTAAATTTATGGACCTAATTACACAGTGAGTGTTATGTTTTCATGCAATCAACTGCTAGACATGTATGACAAAAAATAACAACCTAGAGTATGCAAGAAATGTTCAGCCAAAAACTCACGCCACCTCACTACTTATTAGTGGTAGGTAAGTAGACAATATTTTTCAGGATTATAAAACACAAACAATTAAAACCATAATTGCAACTTTCCTTTTCATCATCCTATCTTAATTACCACAATTCCCCTGTTCTACAGAAGTTGCATTTGTATACAATGATTTAACAGTTATCATATCCGTTATGTAAAGATACCCATCTTCGATATTAATTATCTAGATAGAAGACACTCATAGTATATTATGCCTCCATCCCTAACTAGTTGGGACTGGCCACATGAATGCTCTGTATCCATTCTTCTCCATTTGGTTCCATTTCATTCTAATACTAAATGATTGGTCTTTTAAGGATTAAGTCTTCGTTAGAGTTAAAGTTCTTAAATCTCAGGCTTATCTCTACACATTCGTACTGATATAAAAAAACTGGGAACTAATGTAACTATGATACCGTTAATCCCAACTAGTTCGTATTACTTCCATTGTGCTATGGTTTTAGCTAATTGCGTCTAATTTTGAGATATACATACAGAACCAAAATATGCCATTATTGTTTCAGATAAGAAGATTATTAAGAAACCGAAAATGAAGAAAAAGAGATTGATGCATCTGAAAGTGTACCAGCTGATAAATGGATTTGGGGAAAAGATGGTGGTGGCTGCCATGTGTTCGAGTTGGTGGGACTTTACTTTCGAAATGAAAATGGGCAAGCACTTTACGATCTGGCAATGGCCTCAACAAGAGTGCTTCCGAGAACTGTTCAATTTGATCTTCCTCTTCGGCAATAATTGACCCGAAACTCTTAAAGAGCAGAAGAAAAAGCAAAATTGATCTTAACCGAACCATTAATGGAGCTCCTGTGTTATCGTTGATATTGAAACTGGGAATATGTGAAAGATAAATCGAATAATTCCGCCATTACAAGAGCTTCAAGGTGTGTTAAAACTTAGATCAAAGGTTTGAACAATTTTGGATCCATTGGGGTTTTGGCTGGTTGACCCGTTTAGACTTGCGGTATATTGCCCTTCGATCCGATCCCATTTGGTTCTTTTCCTCTTTTCTTTTTGTCATATTTCAATAGTATTTGCTTAGGACTTAGGTTATTTCTTCAAAAAAATCATCACAAATAAAAGTTGTAAGTGTTATTATAATATAGTGAATATCTATTTTGTATGCTTTTTTTTGGAAGAAAAAAAAAGGTAGGAATTAAGTTAGTTTTTCCTTTACGATTAAATGATTTTTTAATTATATATCATCACTCAAGAAAAATACAATGCTTCTTTTTATTTATTGTATTCATCTATTTATTTTATTATTTCACAATACGTTATCAATATGAATCTTGAATCAGTTGGGAAATTGGACAAAAATATGACATTACCGATTGTTTCTCGTTTGCTATCTAGTAGTTTTAAAGATATGACTTGTTTCATTAATTACTT